ACAGTGCTCACTGGCTGAGCGCGGTGTGGCCGGTCTCAAAAAGGACAAAAAAAAAAAAAAATACTCCTCCCTCTTACAATTACAAATCTGTGTGAGGCCAGATTTCTTCTTGTGCTTCAATTCAAACAACCCATCGCAATAGATTGAATGCAGAAACAGATATGAGAACCCAGCTGTCTTCTTTTAAGCCGAAAATGAAAGAGATTTGCAAAAATGTAAATAACACTTTTTTCAATAAAATTTTGTTTTGGAAGATGTAGTTAGTTTTTATTAAAATGTTATTTACGTTAACGTATAATGTTTTCTTTTTAATGAATTAATACATAAATATTTTTTAAATGTCTCAGTTTTAATTTCTGATACAGTGAATATTTATAGATATAACCCATATAAACAAAAGCTCATTGGAGTCTTTAATAATTTTAAGAGTATAAAGAAGTCCTGAGATAAAAAATTTGAGAAGTGCTGCTTTAAAGAACACTGCTATTCCTGATAGCCAAAGCAGTCAGGCAAGAGGAGAATTTATTTCAAGGCTGTCAGGATTCATTACTGTCAAATTAATGTTACTGCATTTTTCCCTTTATCCCTCCCCAAGTTGACAGTAAGATATTTTCAAAAAAGGAATACATGGGCCGGCCCGTGGCTCACTTGGGAGAGTGCGGTGCTGATAATACCAAGGCTATGGGTTCGGATCCCATATAGGGATGGCTGGTTAGCTCGGTTGGGAGAGTGTGGTGCTGACAACACCAAGTCAAGGGTTAAGGTCCCCTTACCAGTCATCATAAAAAAAAAAAAAAAAATAGAAGGAATACAATTACACAAGCAAATATGAAGCTTCATTATCTGAGGCTCTCAGGAAGATTTAAAACCAAGGTATCTGACATTGTCAGATTTAGTCACTTAATTTTTAAAAGTCTATGCGAAACAAATTTTGCTGTTTTTAATCTACAATGTCAGTGACAATAGTAAATTGTCACATTAGCAGAGATGTTTTAATGAAAACTTAAACTCACCTGTAAATACATTTGGATGAGGGAAGTTAATAACAATAAGCTTCATCACCATTTCAGGATAACAGATGGCAATTAGCCAAGCAATCATGCCCCCCCAGTCATGGCCAATCAGAACACATTTGCTATATCCTGTAATTAAGAAATAAATGTTGACACCATTGAAAAGAAACAGGTGGGCACATTATTCATTACCTTACATAAAATAGTTACACTTCTGAACCTGCTCTTCTACTTCCCTACCCTAATTTTGCACTTTCTACAAATATGAGTTCAGTGATTCCAAAACTTGTCTGTACATCTGAATCACACAGATATCATTTAAGAAAATTTAGATGGCTAGCCTAACTCTAGACCTACAGATTCGGAATCTCTCTGAGGAATCTTTTTTTTTTTTTTTCCTTTTTTTTGTCTTTTTTCATGTCCGGCAACGGACCGCAACCCTCAGTGTCGCGCCCGCACCGGACCGGGACTGGCAACGGGATCGCAACCCTTGGTGCTGCGCCCGCCCCCCGCTCAGCCAGTGAGCGGGAACCGGTCTGTATGTGGGATCCGAACCCTCGGTGGGAGCGCCGCCGCGCTTCCCAAGCGGCGCACTGCAGCAGTGCGCCACCGGGCCGGCCCGGAATCTTTTTTTTATTTTAAATTTTAAATTGCCAGATCAGCTCTGGCCCCATGGACCTAAATTTGGAAACCACGGTAAAGACTGCACATAATTAGATCATAATCAAGATTATTTATTTGGTCTATTTTTTGAATGCTGAGAAATTTCTAGTGACAGTAAAATGATAAATGTCCCATCTATGTCCAATTTGTAAATCTTTATTTCCAGGAAGCATCTATTTTTTCCATAGCTTCACAAATCCAATGTTACAACTCAACAGAGCAAAACGTCACTGATTTGGTTTCATTTCATGTAATCATTATGGCAATTTGCACTAGGTTAAAATATTTCTCAATAGAAATTCCTACAGGATTTCCTTTCTATGGATGGATAAGATTCATTTGTAATTTATTTCTGGCATACTTAAAATTACTTAATTCTTTCAATTTAGTATTTCTCACCATCACTCCCCTCCACTATGCTAACACACAGAGACACAGACACACATACACACATAAAAACACATACATCTCGTTTGTATTATTGATTCACCTAAAAATTTCATGATGGCAAATTTAGGTTAGGTCCAACTGAATTATCACAAAATATGAATGAAATACAGCTGTTCAAAATCACATCTGAGGCTGGCCTGTCGGCTCAGTTGATTAGAGCACAGCCTTATAACCCCAAGATAACAGGTTCAGATCCCCATAGTGGACAGCCACAAAAAACTCCACAAAAACAAAATCATGTGTGAGTCTATTATACTGTAATCAGACTAAATGACAACACTGCATGTTGACACCCCCAGACCCACCCATTTTTTCTTCCCTAAAAATATTGGCTTGATCTGTGCTCTAATTAGATTATTGTAGAAAGGGACTTTGATTTCATGGTGTTTCTTACTATATCGTTCCATTAACATATTGACAGTAACAGCTGGGTTTTAGTCAAAGGGGATGTAGTAGACTACATTGTTTAAAAATATTTTCTCCTCGGCCGGCCCCGTGGTGCACTGCTATAGTGCGCCACTTGGGAGTGCGGTGGCGCTCCTGCCGAGGGTTCGGATCCCACATACAGACCGGTTCCCGCTCACTGGCTGAGCGAGGGGCGGGAGCAACGCCAAGGGTTGCGATCCCGTGGCCGGTCCCGGTCCGGTACGGGCGCAACACTGAGGGTTGCGATCCGTTGCCGGACACGAAAAAAGACAAAAAGGAAAAAAAAAAATTTTCTCCTCCCCTTTCCCCACTGTCATAGAAGGAGTATACTTTGCTGCCCTTTTGATGTTAGATTTGGCCATGGGATTTGCTTCGGTCTCCTGGTGGCTGTATGACTCTGGGCTCTGCCATATGACTTGTTTTGGCCAATGTGCTGCTAGTAGAAACTTGAAATATGCCTGTGCAGCTGAGCTCACCCTCTTGTCATTTCTGCCACATCTAGGAGAATAGTTTCCCTGTGCCCCCTCACTCCCCGTAGCTACTCCCCTTTAGCTCAGGTTCCAGCCCAATTCACAGTGAGAAGCCAGTCTCAGCTGAATCTGCAGCCTGAGGCAAAGACCCAGAGGGTCTAGCCTACAGTTGACCTGCAGGTACAGGAATATAGGAATAAGTGGTTATGGCTATATGTCACTGAGTTTGGGGTGGTTTGTTACACAATGTTATTGTGGTATTAACTGATTGATACAAAAGAGATAATGCAAGTGTCTCTGCATCTTATGACATTTTAAAATGAATATTTAGGTGTGGGCTCTGAAGAAATAATTTTTCTGAGTGCAAGAATCAAATTTTCAATAATCGCTTCTGAAAATAATAAACAGCATACATTAGGTCTATTTTTAAAAACAAAATTTGAAAGTCATTCTTGGCTGGTGGACAGAATAATTACTCTGGATATATTATTTTAAATTTCCTGTATAAATATTTTGGGATTGTATACCAAAAACTATAATGACAGGATCCAGATAACAGCTTGGGTAGATGGAAGATGCATTCTCCCAAGAACAAAAGTCATCAATTCACCATTTGAATTGAATGTTAGTCCCTTTAAAAACAATACTGTATTTTTTAAAAAAAAACTTAAAAAAGCCTACCTAAGGAGTCTAAAATATCCTTTATATCTGTAATTAGACAGTCCAATGTATAATTTTCTTGATGGATGGGAGCATCTGTTTCTCCACAGCCTCTTAAATCCAGCGCTACAACTCGATATTCACTTTTAAATTCTCTCAGTTGGTGACGCCAAGAGTACCTGCAGGAAAAAAGAAACATTAAAAATACCATATTAACTAATCCAAAGAGTAACTAACACAAAGAGTAAGTGGAAAACTGTAAGAAATTCCTTATTTTAAGAAAGGTTATATAGTTGGGTGTCAGCAGGAAAAAGAGACCTATTTGAGAAGGTACCGATGTTATTTATTAGAATTATTTTATCTTCTTACCACTCCAGTGGGGTGTAACGAAGTGCCAGTATTTACAGAAACTACAAAATATCAGATAGTAAAATCGATATACTTATATATGTACTTAATTCTCTAAGCTTTTCTTAAATTCTGCTTACAGCCATCAGGGAATCTGTACTGTGAGCAGTTAGTTATTTTACAGCCTGAATTTTTAGACAGAATAAATAGATTATATAGTTTTTTTAAAAAAGTGAGAGGGAAGATGAGTTTTACCAAAACATCTGAATGCTTAGCTGGCCCAGGACTTTGGTGGAATAACACAAATAAAATGTTTCTGTATTGCAGAAACATTTAATTCTCTGATAGAAAAAAAATACTAGATGAAAATTTACTTCCTTCAAAATTAGATTTTACTCACCTTATTACACTGTCAAATAAATAGGGCTCAGTGTTTTTAGTAGTAATAACAGCTTACTTATGGATTTAAAAAGTCTGAAGATAAAAAAAAACACAACAAAGATTATCACTGAAAGAATCCATTTAAACAACCATTTAAGAGCAACCTCTGCTTGCTAAAGCAAAATTCTTCTGTGGAGAAGATACTGAACCATGAGTATAAGCAAGAGTGATACTAATAATACTAAAAATATTTAACAACCCAAATGGCACCAGCACTGTCCAATTAGAATGGCCAAAGTGCTGCAGTCAAGTCTTGGATGCCTGCTGAGCCAGGCATCCCCAGTGCTTGATCATTTTGGAACTGCAGAATTAATTGAAACACAGAGATCCATAAGACTTTTCTTCTTCAAAGTCATTTTGCATAACTTAGAAAAAAGACACGGTTTTTTTCAAAGTGACTCACGATGTTATGGAACTCAAAATATGCATTTTTAAAAAAGCACCTGCATGTACATCTGTTCATGAAAACATAGTATAAAATTATCTGACACAAGCGAAATGAGAGATCATTGTCTGAAAATACTTTTGGAGTGCAATAGGGAACACAGTGATGTAAGATTATAAGCCAGTGTGAGGGGACTGCAGTGTGAAGTGACACAAAGCAATAAGATTAATGTAACAAGTCAACCATGTTACGTCAACAAATAGATGATCGGGATGGGTGTCAGAAACATACTTGGAATTCGGAATGGGCACGTAATCTCTGATCTTTTACTAGGATATCTATGATTAATGAAAATTTGCAAAAGCATTGCCAATTAAGATGGGTATAAAATGTTAATAAAAGCACCTTTTTTAGATAGACCATAGTGGCTTTGTTAATCTTGTCTCTGGGTTGTAACAAATGAAGCGGTTTGTCTCCTTAAAGATACTCATTGCATATGATTTTATTATTTTCTCATTAGCCCTACTTAAAATTTTGAATTGACTTTTTATGTCTTTGTAACTGAAGGCTACTCTTCCCTGTTTATAATCCCTCATGCCCAATCAATAAAGTTCTGCAGATTTAACCTCTTAATTATTTATTCAATCACTTCTCCTGTCCATCCTGCTATCATTACCTTAATTCATGCCTCCATTAGTGCAGCAACCTATTGATTGGTCTGACTCTGTCCACTTCATTCCCCTCAGCTCTATCTTCTACAAAACCAGAGTGATGTAGCAAAAACGCCAACTCGCTCATGTCATTTCCCTGCTTAAAATCTTTTCGTGACTCCCTATTACTCATAACTTGAAGCCCAAGCTCATTATCCTGGCAGACAAAACCTCCAAAATTTGACTATTGCCCAATCTTCCGGCCTGATTACTTTAAACTCTCTGTCATTTGCTTTCTAATAAAAAGAGCTAACATCTATATCATAAGTGCTTCACGTATGATAATGTTGATCTTCAAAACAATGCTATGAGGTAGGTGTTATTATTATCCCCACTTTATAGATGAAGAAATAGAGGCGCCACAGGTTAACTGAAGTGCTGAAGGTCACAGTTAGCAAACACCAGAGCCAGGATTCAAACCCAGGTATTCTGGCCTCAGAATCCACGTTACTCTACCTCTGCAGAACTTGGCTGCTGTAGTGAACAAACAAGAGTACTATTTGCTTTTGTGATTTTGTTCATATTGTGTCCTTTGTCTGAAATACTATCACTCCCCACCAATCCCTTATTATCTCCCAGTCCCTGAGACTCGTCCCTCAATTAATCCCTCCTCACATTGGGCCTGTCCTCCTCCAGGAGCCTTCCTAGGCTCTCTCCCTTACAGGCTGGGTTGGGTGGGCCCCTTCTGTACTCTCTAACTTGTGTGTATACTCTTCTGTGCACTGGGCACAGGTTATATAATGATGTGTTGATATCTGGCTCTTCCACTCAGTTGTAAGCTCCCAGAATTATCTGGGAGAATATCTAGCCCATGTTTGTGCTTAATAAGGATTTGTTGAATAAGAGAAACAACAAGCTAATGGAAGCAATGAATAATGATAGTGCTAGAAGTACCAGTTGTTCAATAAGACTTCTGTCCCAGTTCAAACCTTGAGACAATGACAGCTAAAGGTCCCAAATGCCTGTTAGGGAGTTTTTACTCAATTTCTATTAAATCGTGCATTGTTTTAATATCTTCAGTGTCTCTGTCTTCATTTAGAATTCATTTAATTAGAGATTTCAAGGCACAAATTTGACTCAAAATACTGTGCACAGTCCTGCAGCATTTTACATTTAAAATTGTATAAGAGATTATGCAAACATGATATCCGCATATGTCATTATATTATGTACAATTTAAATTGCCTGAAAAGTAAATTCAACTACTGCTGTTAACAATGAGTTGATCCAAACAATATCCTAAATAATGCTAAGAAATAGGGCAACTGCATATTTTAATAAATTACAAAAGAACAATTTTTGAATGTCATCTTCCTGAATTTCATAAATAAAACACATTTGATTTACACTTTATCCCTAAACTCAAAAAGATATCACCACAGAGATAGTCTGATGGGCATGTCATCTTATGAATAAAACAAAAGCAACCTCCTTGATGTAGGAATGAAACATATTACAAAAGCAGTAACCTCTGAAAATATTATAAATAAACAAAACTATTTTCATCAACATTGTCTTTTTTTCTGGTAGCTTTGGGTGATAGCAGAAAACACTCAGGAAAAACCAATCTCTTTCTCTGTTACTACTTTCAACAGAAGGAGGGTTCCTGGCTTTGCCAGGCTAGCCACTCTCAGATGTAGAGTACCCTTTCATCTTCATCACAGACAAAGGCCATGGTTGTCGGCCTCTGTGCTCAGCTATGTGCAAAAAGAGCCCTCATCTGCCTCAGCACAGAGTGTGATGACACATACATTCCAGACAGCTGGCGATGAAGACGACTCAAAGAAATTGCCTGGGTCAGCTCAAAATATTTTTCAGAGAAATGCAGATTGATGTGGAGAGAGTGGGAGAAAAATCATCCTCCGACAAACAGCCTTATTTAGAACCAATTTAGCTAATGGTCTCATAGATGTATATCCTGTTTGATGTTTCCTTTAGATTTTAAGAAAGAAGACCCAGGATTTTACTGTTTCTGTGTAAGATCTAATAATATACATTAAATATCACCATTTCTCAACAGCTATTCTCAGGCAGTGACGGTAAATGAGGATAATACATTACATTTATACAATGCTTTTCTGTTTAAAAAGCACATTCACACACATTACCAATTTATGATTTTTGTGGTTTGTTTTCACTGCATCAAATATTTCTGACCTAACTGATCTACAAACAAGTTTATAATTTCACAAGTATTTAGGCAAAACTTAATTGATAGAGAAATACCATTTACATTTATAATGTAAATTCAAATTGGTTTGAAATACCAGGCATAAAGTTTTTTTGGCTTTGAAAATGAAAAGAAAAAGCACTTTGTTCTAAAACTTAAACCTCAGAGTTTTGCCCTAAATTCTAAGATTCTAATTGACTTTTGCCACTAGCACCTGAATGAAATAGACTTGACCCCTACAATGGGTAATAGTGGTGATTTGATTGGAAGGAAAGACAGAGTGATTATCAACACAGAGGTCTCGGTTTAGGGTGTGACATACCGAAAGGTATTTGATTACCAGAATCTCCATGTAAGTGCCTTTAGGACTCTCCTTAAATGACAGGTATCTTTCAGGTTAATGGTCAGCAAGTTCAGTGAATTCAGTATGGTCTATTTGAGTAACTGAATTATCAGGTTTTGTTGTTATTTTAAATTATAGCAAGGCAGGCTCTTGCTGGAGTAACAAATGGTGAGTTTGGTGAATAGAACAGACTTGTTCCTATCTATGATCTGCATATATTTCTTAATCTATGGCTCTTTGGAGTGAAAAATATCTTTAGGAGCTTTTTGAAAACTAAACCATTCATTACAATGACCACATTCCCTTCGGACACATCCAGGACTTGACTTTGCTGGAGGCAAATGGGACTGATGTTCAGAGACCAGGGCTGGACTCCTCCTAGGCTGTCCTGTCTACTGAATATTCTAGGACTTCTACAAAGCTCACCAGGCATTACTATTTTGCAAAAGGGCTCTCATGCAGAGTAAACAATGGGACAATT